CATTGGTGGAATTCGATTTTTTGGGCAGACCCTCTCCTTCATGGAATTTTCTGCAGTGTATTACGAGGGAGTCTAGGTGGGCGTAGAACTTCTGGCATAGTCCACATTGGACTTTTTCTCTGTCCTCACGCTCCGGTGGCGACGTATCTCGCTGGCGTTTCTTATTGCGTGGAAACGTTACTTGTATTGTTGCCGGCAAAATTGGAGTTCCAGGTGGATGTTTAAACTTTTTGTGGCAGGCGAGAGCTCCAATGTTGCCAAAGTCGCGGAGGCAGAATTCGCATCGTAGTGAAGCAGGCTGTGGGAAGAGCTGAGGGCGAGGTGCGTCCTTTGTGGGGTTCTCAGGATGTTTTGCTCGAATATGGGCTTTGAGACCTGTTTTAGAGCGCGCTATCATATCACATTTGTCACAGGGAAATGCTGACTCTTCTGTAATCGGTTCCTCGGCTCGCGGGCGTTTTCTCTCTGGGAGAGGGCATGTGACATTGTGCATGTATCTAAGGTGGCGCGTTAATCCATTTTGAAGCGGAAATGTTCGTTTACACATACTGCAGGCAAACGGATGAGGTTTTGCTTTAGGGCGAAGTGGGATGGGGTAACGTTGTGTCCGGAGGTGAGGGTTGTGAAGGTGGCGGAGGTTCTGGCGGGATGTCCGGCGGAGGTGGCTCATGGGGGAATTTGATTCTTCCAGAGCGCGTCGGCTCTCTTGAACACATGTGTTTGTTGACCATATGTACTACTGCGGTGTTCCTGCATGAGTATTGTGCCCCGCATTCAGTGCAGGTGGCAGGGTCTGTTGCTTTGTTTAGTGCATAGCGCGGTCTTTTCTGGCTAGGTGGAATAACGGGTGTCGGCGTACTGACTTTTTGGGGATTACACCAACGACAACCAGGAGGAATATGGGTTTGTATCTTTCGCAGCAACCAGCCATAGCGATGCGAAGCACCTGTGCGAAAACGTGCTAAGGCTGTTTCTTCTTCTTTAGTAAGTTCCGGATTATCTTTGGTGGGGTCCCAGGATCCCGTGATTTTTGATCTATGGGAGGGAGGGGGCGTATCCTCTCCTTTAAGTATTCGTTTAGCGTAGGCTATTATATCTGTGATCCAAGTATCAGTTCTTTGTGGGAGTTCTGCATCTTTTTTGGCTTCTGTGTCGCATTGCTCATTTTTTACTACACCGCAGTGACCAAAACCGGAGACATATTCTTTTCACAAGCTCCCAGAAAAAAAAAAAAAAAAAAAAAAACCAGACGAAGCACACACCCTCAGGGCGAAAAATAAATTCGGAATAGCGCTAGGAAGTTTGAAAAGGAATTCGCTCTTTTCCGCGACGACCGGAATCGAGATTGGCAAGGAAAGGGCGCCAGAGAGTCCAAAACCACGGACGAGGGCAACACGAAATTTCATGGGAAATGTAACCAAAAGAACATTTTCAGAGGAACCACAAAAACTGTTTTGGAAATTCCATTGAAAATGACGATAGTCACAGAACCGCGGCCTAGGTTCCAAACCCCGTCGTCCCGGCCAAGAGGATTGGGGCCAGGGTCATCACCTTAAAAGGAATAAAAAGACTAACACGGAATCGAATAATAAGTGGGATTCTACGATCCATAGCTGAAAACACAAAATCTTTTCACTCAACTTGCAAAGCGAACACACTGGTACGTTAAAAGTAGACAAGAATATATCCCTATAGAACTCCGAATCCCCAGCCCAAACGTCTGGTCTTCTGGCCCTCTTGCGCATACTTTTCCTGCTCTGCGATAAAAGGCGTCGCCGTAGCAATCGTATTCGATTGCTGTCATCACAGAGATTCCCAACATTACAAAGGTAACATATGCAATGAACTCTAAAACCGAACGAAATTCAAACATTTCTTTCATGCTTAGAGTTTTCCCGCAAACCCCGGTAAAACAATTTTAGGGTAAGATTAAAAAAAAAAAAAAGAATTAAAGGGAAAACAAAAAAAAGGGGTATGAACTCCTTGAATAACCCAGTGCATAGTAAAACGAATATCCACCCTCGCTGAGAGGGCACGTATAACAAATACACAGGTTGTGAGCAGACAGGTGTCACACATATACACAAAGAAACTGGAGAGAGGGGAAAAAATCCATCATCTCTCTTTTTCCACGTGCAGCAAATGGAAAAGAAAGATTTTTTTTTTAATAGTACTCCTGTCGCAGAAAAGTAAAGTAGAGGAAAAACAATAAAATGAAAGGTTGATCCATTTCTTTCTTACTTATTTTTTTTTTTTTGCGACCCACTTTCGTTTATTACTTTCTTTTCCTCCTTTTCCACGTGTGTTATTGTTTCTTTACTTCTCCCCCAACCCCCCCTTCCCCCTTTCTGCCCGTGGTTTGTAACTGAAAGTCACACACCCTTCACATACACCTACACTCCTGCACATTATTCACATGTTTTTTTTTTTTTCTTTCTTTCTTTCTTTCTTTCCTCACCCCTCTACCATTCATTTCTTTCTCTCGTGCGTGCCAACGTTTCACACCAACGAGGGCGTCAAGGAGGAAGTATATCTAGAAAAAAAAAAAAAAAAAAAATCCCTTCAAGAAAAAGCAGTACGGTAGCGGAAAGAAATTAGGCGATGAAAAAAAGAAAAATCCAAAGAAAGAAGAAAAACAGAAGAAACTGAAGGACCAGAGTATATATATTGTTATTCTTCAAGCGTTCCATTATTCTGGTTTTCACCATTCCTTTTTTTTTTCTTCTCGGTTCCCTTTCCTCACCCTCCTCATCCAGAGTGCTCTTGTAGGGATAAAAAAAAAGTTTTTTACCTACCTATACCGCTACTGGGTCGTTTTATATATAAACTGTTATGTTGCACCAGTATCGTGTCCCCATTGTACATACATAAAGAATCATAGGTAGATGTATCCATATAATAATAATAATAATAATAATAATAATAATAATAATAATACTTGGGACTTCATGAGTTTTATCAAACGTCATCAGCCGCAATGACCAAGACCTGTGTGATTTTGGCCTCACACAGAAACGGGCAGAGGCTCACATTTAGATAGATATAAATATGCTCAGAGAAGAAGGAATGTGCTGCAGGAAGGGGTACAAGAAGTAATCTTGCTCTTAATTTATTTTCTCATTGAACCCGTATCACTTTCAAACGCCCAGATTTACTAGAAGAAAAAACCTTCAGGATTTTCCTTCGCGCGTAGTTGCTCTTCAATCCACTCCACCTGTGCCTCATCCAGGCTGTCAGCGTAAGCACTGCTATTCATCTCCCACAGATCATCATCATAATCATCATCGTCATCATCATCAGCATAAGCAGATCCAGCACGGTCTGTGAAAACACCATTCCCGGGAACACAAGTAGAAGAGGCAGCACCATGTGCGTTTATAGTGATAGACGCAGTAGAGGAGGGACGACGGCGAAGAAATCGCCGCGTTGTAGCACGCGGTCCTTCCAAGTCCCAATATCCACCAGCACAATGGTAAACCTCAAAGTTTGTTGGAAGCACCGTCGCCAATTCAAACACTTGTTGTTGTTGTTGTTGTTGAGTCATATAAACAACATCCTCATCATCATCATCTTCTTCACCACTGCTACTGTCACTACTTCCTCGAAGTAAGTGAAGCATTGCAGCTTCATCCATTGCCTCCGCATCTGTAAAGGGAACACGGAGGTGACGGACATTATCAGAACCAGTATCATCCTTTACATCTGGCGGGCATACAATACTACCACTGCTGTTACTGGTAACGCTGGGTCCAGTAGTGGGCACGGGTCGTTGCTGTTGATGATTAGGGAAGCTAGGAGAAAGTGGATAGAGCGGAGTTGAACGCTGCTGAGATTCACCACCACAAGCACTAGCAACACCAGCAACACCGATGGATGACGAAGAAGGTGAACGGACCGCAGCAACGCCGGAACAAGCACCAAGAGTGACAGAAAGACGCAAACGTGGAGTTTCTCTGGCAAGAGGAGTGCGGGGAAACTCCAACGTTGTTGTCCTAATCCCTGGTTGTTGAACAGAAGCACTGCTTGTTACAATGCTCCCAGTACTCTCTTTTTGCAACAACTGGACATCTCGAAGAGAAGTCAAATCTCCCAATTCTGGTATTTCCAGTGTTGAAGATAATGTACTAAGTTCTGTAACGGATCGTGGCTGAAATGGTGCTGCGTGCACTGACAACCCACGCCTACTCAACGATGCACGCAGGGAATTCTCATCAGCACTTAGAGAATTGGTAATCGCGCTTGAAGTCAACTGAGGGGCCGCATGAAAAGAGGTCATACCCCCTAAAGAGAAGTCTATTGTACGCGAACTGTCAATTTGCTGCTGAGGCACATTTAACGTACTCTCAGCTCGTCCTGATGTAGTCAAATCACTCTGTATAGTAGTCATTCTTCCCGGCGAAGTGCGCTGCACACATGCGGGGGCAGACGGAAACATTTGTTGTTCTCTTGTGATAACTGTTTTTGCCGACACCGCCGTAGGAGTAGGAGCCGTCAACGCCCGGGTGATTCCAAGGCTAGAGCTACGGGTGCAAACTGCTTGACAAGCCGCGCGCCAACCCTCAACAGCCTCAACAGCAGCAGTACTAGAAGTAGCAGTAGCAGTAGCAGTAGTAAGAGCAGGTGTGGGAGGGCATTCATCTGCAGCTGTAGCCGGTGAAGCACTTATACGTACTGCTGTTCCCTTCGGAACCGTCGATGGTGATGGTCCAATCATTGCACGACAAGTTGGAGGGAATAGATTGGTAGGGAAGGCAAAACAATAAAAAAAAAAAAAATCCACTGCGAATACGACGACAAAAGTAACACGATTGATAGAGTAAAATAATAAAAGAAATGGGAGGAGAGGGAACGAGGTGTGTGAAGTAAGAAAAGGATTCCAGTAAAAAAAAGAATCCAAACCCTTAATTACACTTTGAGCACACGCCTCCCTTTTTTTTTTTGTTTTGTTTTCTTTTCTGAACCCGTTACTCCTCAAGATGAGCTCAAATTCCACTTTAGTAGTGTTGCAGGTTCAATAAACACGCTGAATGTAAAAGCGAAGGATGTCTTTGTCGCCTCGTTGGTGTTGGTAATATACGTATGTGTATTGCAGGTGCAGACGAGGGAAAGACGAAAAAAAAAAAAAAAAATGAACAACTTGAGTGAAAGTATGAGACAAGAAAGAAAAAAAGAAGTAGAAAAGAAAAACGATGACTAAAGGGAGGGAGGAGCAAAAAAAAAAAAAAAAAGAAAGTCAAGACTAGACCAAGTGGATAAGCACCCTTCTTTCTTTATTTGGGTTTTTTTTTTTTTTTTTTTTTTTTTTCCTTGTTTCTTTGTATCGCTCAATTAAAATTGGTTTGATAGGCACTTTTACCACTAAAACACTTTGTTGTAGTTAATTGACTCCGTCATGGTGTGTATTTATAGAAGAAGGTAGAAGACAAATAAAAAAAAGAAGAGTAGTGAAAAAAAAACATAATGCCACTTCTGGATGGAGCACATCCTAAAAGAAAAAAAAGCAAGGAATAAGGAAATGATAAAAAAAGAAAAAGAAAAAGAACACCCACAGTGGGTGAACCCATACAGACGTACTCATATACAAACTCACACTAACACTTACACATAAGAGAGAAAGAAGTAGTGAGAGAGATGGCAAAACTGCATGCAACGCACTCACCCCCATTTGCAACAGAGCACACAAGTAATACTGAAGAAACAGGAATAAGAAGAAAGAATGGAGGAGATCTGACATTTAAACACAGAAAAAAACAAAACAATGAAACAAAACAATGAAACATCACGAAACAAAATAGAATGAAACATCACGAAACAAGAAGTGAAAGAAACACATTTTTGAGCCTACTACATTGAGTATCGCAAGCATCATTCCACACACATACACAAAAATCTTGGTTACTGCAAAATTGTCTCACTCAACATTCAACAACAACAGGAAAGAAAAACAGCGCGTGATTTGCGCGTCGTACAATCAACTTTTCTACCCTTTTTCATTCACCGTGTGCCAATTTTATCTTTCCTTCAATCTCTTTTTTTTTTTTTT